AACATGCTAAAGCCCCTTGTATGCAGAGCATTATGGGCAGGCTTAAAATTAACTTAAGATAAACTAAGCAATGATATATTCAGTGGTAAACATTATTGTAAACAAATAACAATTTAGCACAAATGAGTATTTCAAAGACTGGGTCACAGGTTAAACATTTATGAGATACAATTATTCAGTATTTATTTAGTTGAGGGTGAGTAAGTGATTTTTAAAAAGAGACATGAATTTTATATTCACAGGTAATGAATTCCAGATTTTTGGGCCTTTTATGTGCACTGAGTTTTTGCATAGTGTGAGATGGACACGAGGAACATCAAAGAGTGATCTGTGCCTTGTGTTATGGTCATGTGTTCTGTTGAGGTTGGTAAGGAGACGTTAAGTGTTCTATGTATGTAGAAGGTACAATAATAAGTATGGATGTTTTGTATGGTGAGTAGGTTTAGAGTTTTGAATATTGGTGGAGTGTGCTGCCTGTAGTGGGAATTCGTTATCATTCTGACTGCAGTCTTTTGTTGGGTAATTAATGGTCTGAGATAGTTTATTGTTGTTGAGCCTCATGCACAAATTCCATAGGTGAGATAGGGGTAAATAAGTGAGTGATATATAACAGTGTGTATAATAGCATCGTTCGTATTTTTATTAGGCCTGAACCCAAACTGACAGGGGTTGAGCATGTTGTGGGAGATTAGGCAGGAATAGATTTGCTTATGAATTAATTTTTCGAAGATTTTAGAGAGAGGGTGTAAGATGGATACTGGCCTATAGTTGTTCAAATCTGTTTGGTCTCTTCCTTTTTATGGATCGCGGTGACCCTCGCTATTTTGAGAACTGTAGGGAAGGGAGAGGATTTGATGGATTTGTTAGTGTTGCAATGATTGGTGACAGCACTCGCAATGCTTTTTTGTATATAAAGGGTGGTAAGGTATTTAAATCTCCTGTCTTGTTTTTTAGCATGCTGATAATAAGGGAGACTTCTGTTGGGTTAGTCGGAGCTAGGAACAGTGTGTTCGGGTAGTTGCCAGTGAGGTAGTCATTGGGTGGGGTATTTGAGCTTGGGATTTTATTGGCAAGGTTTTTTCCTATGATGGAGAAGAAATCATTGAGAAATCATCCTTAAACCCATTTTATTTGCAGATGACACAACTTATGTCTTTTCTCACCCAAACCCAACCATACTAACAGACACAGTAAATGTTGAACTGCTAAAAATATCTACTTGGGTGATTACCAACAAACTTACTCTCAATATAGAAAAAATCTACTTCATGCTTTTCAGAAACAGAGCTTCAAATGTACAGCTAAACATATTGATAAATGGTTCACCTATCTCGAGACAGGCAGAGGGCAAATTTCTAGGTCTCCACCTTGACTGCAGTCTCAAATTTCAGACACATATACTGCAAATTTCCAAGAAAGTCTCCAAAACAGTAGGCATCCTTTCAAAGATATGGTACTATTTACCCCAATCAGCTCTTCATTTACCCTTACCTCACCTATGGTATTTGTGCATGGGGCTCAACCACAGCAAAAAGCTGCAGTGCAATTGATTACTAACTCTTGCATTAGATAACACACTCCACCACTTTTCAAGTGTCCTAACTTGCTAAATATACAAAAGATCCACACTTATTATTGTGCCTACTACATACACAGAACACTATATTCTAATGTAAACCCTCCTCTCAAACTCCTCCTTGATAACTATAACAGAGCACACAACCGTAATACAAGACACAGATCACTCTTCGATATTCCCCGTGTTTATCTCTCCCTATGCAAAAATGCTATGCACGTAAAAGGCCTTAAAATCTGGAATTCATTGCCAGAACAAACTAAAGGACCACTGTCTGCAAATCAGTGTAAGGCCCAAATAAGAAATCACCTCATCATCCAAAATTAACCAGACAAACCGTACCTAACCACTACCAGTTTCTCAAAAGCTACTCATATTGTGCTGATGAATGCTCAACCAGTTACTACTTCGAAATTAGGATGTCTGTTCTTTTCATTGTTTTAAATAGTACAGTGGACCCCCGGTTCGCGATGCTATCGGTATCCAGTAAATCCGGTAACCGATGCATTATATCGCAGAAAATTTGCCTCGCTTCCCGATACAAAACCCGGTATGCGATGTGGTTCATACGAGACGTGTCCATGTGTGGCCTGAACTGCCCCGTGTGTGCCAGTGTTTACAAGCCAGCCAGTGTGCGTGCATCTAAGGATACATTCGGTACATTCCATATTATCCATATTATCACTGTTTTTGGTGCCTGTTTTTGAAAAATAAGTCACCATGGGCCCCAAGAAAGCTCCCAGTGCCAACCCTTCGAGACCAAGGGTGCTAATGACTGTTGAAATGAAGAAAGAGATAACTGCAAAGTATGAAAGTGGAGTGCGTGTGTCGGAGCTGGTCAGGTTGTATAGTAAACCCCAATCAACCATCTCTACTATAGTGAGCAAGAAAACGGCAATCAAGGAAGCTGTTCTTGCAAAAGGTGCAACTGTGATTACGAAACAGCGACTGCAAGTGTTAGAAAATGTTGAGAGACTGTTATTGGTGTGGATAAATGAAAAACAGATAGCAGGAGATAACATCTCTCAAGCAATCATTTGTGAAAAGGCTAGGCAGTTGCATGACGATTTGGTAAAAAAAACTGCCTGCAACTAGTGGTGATGTGAGTGAATTTAAGGCCAACAAAGGTTGGTTTGGAAGATTTAAGAATCGTAGTGGTATACATAGTGTGATTAGGCATGGTGAGGCTGCCAGTTATGTTGTGCGACAGAAGTCCAGTGACTCTCAACCTGGTCCTAGCGGCATTAAAAGAAGAAGGGAAGTAACCCCGGAAAAGGACTTGCTACCTCAAGTCCTAATGGAGGGGGATTCCCTTTCTAAATGCTAACACCATCCACACTCTCCCCTTCTCCCATCCCATCAATCATCACCAGATCTTCATTAAAGGTAAGTGTCAATTATTCTTTTGTTATTTATTGTTATTGTTGTTATTGTAATTACTATTCTATTGCATTAAACTTAATATTTCATGTGGTAAAAGTTTTTTTTTTCATACTTTTGGGTGTCTTGCACGGATTAATTTGATTTCCATTATTTCTTATGGGGAAAATTGATTCGCTTTCCGATATTTTTGGTTTACGATGAGCTCTCAGGAACGGATTAGTATTGCGAACCGGGGGTCCACTGTAATAGATTGTAATACAGCACATCATAATGTAAATTGTTCCATTGTAATACCAAATTTCATTGTTTTAAACAGTATTAAACTGTAATACCTCACACTGTAAATTGCTTTAAATTGTTACATTGTAATACTGTAATCTTTATTAACTAATTCAATAGTGTAAAAAGTCTCTACTAGACATATTAAAACCATGTAGCATCACCTGATATGATATTCAGTTCTCCTGTACTCACTCTAACTCATCTAATGACCATATGAACTATGTATTACTGCCCTGCTATTCTTAAGTTAATCTTTAAGTTTGCCCGAAATGCTCAGCATACAGAGGGGCTTTTGGCATGTACACCCAACTATTATATTCCTGTATACAACCACGTAATTTGTCAAAATAAAAAATCTAAATCTAAACCACCACTGTCATCTATGTAATGATTACATGTGTCTCACTCGTACTGTCCAGCAGGTATGCAAATTTCACTTCCATCATCTCCAGTGCCTTAACACATTAACTCTCACCTTTGACACACACACACACACACTGACTTTTTAACAGGACCTAACTTACTGCACCAACTGTGATTTTACTTTTCCTCTTGCAATCTCTCCTACTCTCACATACTCCTTCCTTCACTTCTTCATCAACTTTGCACATTCCTCCTTTCCCAAAAGGTGCTGACATTCCAATTCAGATTACCCTCTGACTGCAACATCCCCACATCTTCAGAGTGCAGACCACATTTGGCCAGTTTTCCCGAGTACCTTCACAAATACCACCTTGCTCACACTCCAACAACACATTCATTAAAAACCACTTGGCTCAACTCTTATCTAACACATCTGTACAGCCTGCTGGATGCTCAAGCACCTAAAGCTTAAAGTCTTTTATACCCTCCCTCCAACCATTCCTGGGGCAACCCCTACCCTTACCTTCAACCCCGGACTTATAAGCCCTCTTCATCACCCTCTCCACATGCCCAAACCACCTCAACAACCCCTTCTTAGTTCTCTAAGTTATGCTCTTGACTCCACATCACCTTTTAATTTCTACGCTCCGGATTCTCTGCCTGATGTTCATACCACACATCGTTCTCTAACATGACATCTCCACTGCTTTTAGCATCTTTGCTGAAGTGTTAAGAGCCCATGCCTCACACTCATAAAACAGCATTGGTAGGACTATACTCTGGTCCATTCCTCCCCCCTCATTAATAAACTTTTCTTTCTTTCTACAGATGCCTCAATATTCTGATGGTTCACATCGCCTTTCATATACCCATTTGCCACACACTAACTCCCAAGTATCTAAGCACATCCAGTTACTCCACATTTTATTATGCAAAAATATATAATAGGTCCCTTCTTTTCAATCTTAGATGCATCATTATCACTGTATGTAAGGTCACTTTTGTTCAAATCAGCAGTATTAATGACAGAAAAAGTTTTTTTTGGGCCACAAACATTATTCATGTTTCCTGTCGTTAGAAGAGAAATAAACAAAGAATACATAAGTAATAATAAGCTCATTTACATATACATATCTGCTCTAAAATTAAGGTAGCACTGTATGACTTTCAAGTTTACTAACAAAATACCAGAACTGAGAGACAACTCAAACTCTGCAACAGCTGAAGAACTTATCGAGGGAAGTTCTTGGACAGTGGTGAGGTATTTTGATCAAAGAAATTGAGCCTACTGTTTCCTCCTGAATCTGATTGTCTCCCACTCCCCTTAGGTGCTGTATGACCATTAATGGTTTAGTGCTCCTCCTGTGAATATAATAATACAGCTAAGGAAACTTACCTGAGTGAAGGAGTGAAGGAATCAGGGATCTGAGGCCATCACGGGACCCCCAGATAGAGTCCTTGTCTAACATCCTGATGAAGATATTGTGTCGCTGTGTACCTCTGCCCACACGAGCCTCTATCATGCCTCCGAACTGTGACACTGTGTCTATGTACCTGAGAGAGAGAAGCAAAGATAAGAGCCTCTAGCTTGTACAAGGCATAATGGTACTCTTAGTGTATCTAATGACATCCCTCAGCAGGGGTTCCTTGATGTCAGAGAGGGGCTCTTGATCCAAGGGGATAAACATATTGTCCCTCGCTTTCGACTAAACCTGACTGCCTTCCAGAGTAGAAAATTTTATTTGGATCATTAACCTGGAGGGTTAGTAACCCAGGACCCTTGTGGGTTTAGCAATTAATTTTGATTGTAATAATAAGAGTAACCCAGGAGAGCCCAAAGAAGTCACTATGACATCTTTCCATTAGGTCCTTTGATCCCTTCCACAGGATGTGAACCACAGTAGTCTAATAGCCAAGGACCTACTTAATGCTAGGTGAACAGCGAAAACAGGTATAAGGCAACATGCCCAATGTTTCTACTATGCTGGGATCTAACCTAGTTCCTTCAGATAATAGCCAAAACTGCTACCATCAAGCCATGAGCCAATATCACATGGGAGGGGCACTTTGAGGCTATTACCTGAGAAAGAACATGGGAAGGGCACTTCGAGGCTATTACCTAAGAAGGACTGCCGACTTCTATCTTGATTAGGGACAATCAACTGTTATCTAGATGATCGAAGCAAGGATAGTAAAGCTGAAGGCTCTCCCCCAATCCACTTCTCCCTTTGGCTACTGGCAGTATGAAACAAGGAAAAAAATACATGCCATTCCATACTAGAAAAAATGGCGTGAAATTTATAGCACAAGCAGATGGAAGGCATGGACTATACACTACACTACTGCATAATACTACTACTTATAGATACCTCTAGTTCTACTTCTAGATACTGTGTTGCAGGCTGAAGTAAGCAGATGGATATCTGAGCAACTTCAGAGCTAATGCTAGGATGTCAGTGGCCACTTTTCCTTGTACTTTAGGATCATGCTTGAAAGTATACATCCTGCTCATTCTCTGAACATTGAATTGATTTGGCATCTGTAACTTTCAATGACAAAGTTTTCCAGTGCTCCACAACTCTGAAAATATCTTGCCCACAAGTGTATTAACCCTTTGATTGTTTCAGGCCCCTCTCTAAAACTGTCATTCTATGTCGCTCAATTTTTGAAAAAAAAAAAAATTATTTTTTCTTATGAAATGATAGAGAATCTTTTCCCGATGGTAATGACACCAAAAGTTCGAAATTTGGTCGAAAACTCGTGGAATTATGCTCCCGCGAAGTTAGCGGTCTCTGCGACATATGCGTATCGGCGATTTCGCCGACTTTGAGCCCTATTTTCAGCCAATTCCATTGTTCCAGTTGACCAAACTCATAGCTATTTCTTTAGAACTCCATTTTATCTATCAGCTGAGTACAAGAAACCTCCCATTTACTAATTTGGACTACCCAATATGGTGGTCAGAAATTGGCAATTTGGCCAATTTCACGCAAAATAAAAAAATGCCAATTTCAAAATAGGGTCCAGAATAAACAAGGTAGACATTCGTGGCACTAAAATAACATATGCTCTGTTCATTAGTCACATCTCTAGGCCCCTCTTATATTATTATTGATTTCTATTTTGATTTTTTATTCATACAAAAAAATACAAAATTTACTGTTATGCAGACGACTGCATTATTGTAAAAATGATATAAATAATATCAGTGCACTAGTGAAAGAATATTAGACTCCCCAGTTGACGTGTATTGGACGTGTGGTGTGATTTATTTACTCTTGAACATTGGTAAAAATCGAACATTTCTGCTACTTTGAGCTCAGTTTCAAGGTCGTTTTCATCGTAAAAGTAATGAAAATCATCTCTATTTCTGTAATATGTTTTCCATTTTATCACCTAAGACCATGAAAACGCGAATACAACGATAAATACTATACGAAAATACACCTCAAAGTCGGCGTTTTATTCCAAAAAAACGATCAGAGTTTTTTTTTCTCATTACGCAATGTTTGCTGCAGGATTTTTTTTATGTGGTGCACACTGACCACACAGACCCATTCTCTCACATGTGGGCCTACCAGCTTTCTCCCACTTGATTTGAAGCCGCTAGAATTATTGAGTATATATACGTCAGAAACATTGGCTCGTAAGACGTATTTATACGTCGAAAACAGTCAAAGGGTTAAACATCTTACTACAGAGTGTTGTACCATTGTTTCGTGTAATTGTATCACTAGGTACTTCAAGAAGATCCTTGTATTAGGTCCCATCGAAGCCTCTGTTTTCTGAGAGAACATGTTAGATTAAAGTTGTTCTTGATGTTGTTTGTTCCTTAACGATAATACGAGATTTGTTGCTTTTCTGTATACCATTATCAAGTGTCGGTCTTTTAGTGTTTACCTTTTATGTAATTAAGGTACCACACTCAGAGAGCATATTAAAGATGGTATGTGACGAGAGCAATACAGGTGTTAATATTGTTGCGGGAGTTGTGATTAAAGTTTTTGCTATGAATCAAAGAGCATTCTTATCCTTACTGCTTACATCAGTATATTACAAATACAGGTCTCCCTCAACATTCGCGTTTTCAACTTTCACGGGCTTCACACATTCGCAAATTTCCAACCGCCAAATTCCCAGCTGCCAAATCATATTTAAGTTTACCGCCACGAGTCCTTACTACCCTCCCTCCGACCCCTGCAACTGGCAGCCAGCCCTCCCACCACTGTGTGGTGAGTGTTTTGTTTGTTCATTATTTGCTATTAAACTACAGTATAAATAATGTAAACTCATCCATGACTGCATATTAGAATGGCTATTCGGACAGGTATTGGAAGGTGACATCATGTGTTCACTCTTGAACACAGCAAAGAATCAAACATTTCTGCTACTGCTAATAATAATAATAATAATATTAATATAGTAATAATAATAATAAATACGATAGAATTGAAGAAGGAAATTGTACAAAAATATGAGGGTTGAAGCAGTGGTGGAGGAAGTGGTTGACGCAGCATCAGTGTGGCTGTGTTTATGCTGGAGTGAGTATTAGTCTCCGTGCTCTTCCAAACATTTCACAATAATTCATTGTATTTGGTGCTTGTAGATTGAGTGTGACTGGAGTGCTTGAGGCAGTGATAGAGGCAGTGATAAAGGCAGTGGTAGAGGCAGTGGTAGAGGCAGTGGTAAAGGCAGTGGGTGAGGCAGTGGTAGAGGCAGTGATAGAAGCAGTGGGTGAGGCAGTGGTAGAGGCAGTGGTAAAGGCAGTGGGTGAGGCAGCAGTTGAGGGAGTGGTAGAGACAGTGGTAGAGGCAGTGGGTGAGGCAGTGATAGAGGCAGTGGGTGAGGCAGCAGTTGAGGGAGTGGTAGAGACAGTGGTAGAGGCAGTGGGTGAGGCAGTGATAGAGGCAGTGGGTGAGGCAGCAGTTGAGGCAGTGGTAGAGACAGTGGTAGAGGCAGTGGTAAAGGCAGTGGGTGAGGCAGTGATAGAGGCAGTGGGTGAGGCAGCAGTTGAGGCAGTGGTAGAGACAGTGGTAGAGGCAGTGGGTGAGACAGTGGTAGAGGCAGTGATATTTACTAACATATATGTTATAAATAATAATAGTACATTATGAATAACATTTATTATTATTATTATAAATGTTATTAATATTAACATGTACTATTATTATTTATAACATATATGTTAGTAAATATCACTGCCTCACCCACTGCTTCTACCACTGCCTCAACTGCTGCCTCTATCACTGCCTCACCCACTGCCTTTACCACTGCCTCACCCACTGCTTCTATCACTGCCTCTACCACTGCCTCTTCCACTGCCTCTATCACTGCCTCACCCACTGCCTCTTCCACTGCCTCTATCGCTGCCTCAACCACTCCAGTCACTCAATCTACAAGCACCAAATATAATGAATTATTGTGAAATGTTTGGAAGAGCACGGAGACTAATACTCACTCCAGCATAAACACAGCCACACTGACGCTGCGTCAACCACTTCCTCCACCACTGCTTCAACCCTCATATTTTTGTACAAATTTCTTTTTCAATTCTATCGTATTTATTATTATTATTATTATTATTATTATTATTATTATTATGTATTATTATTTTTATTATTATTATTATGTATTATTATTTTTATTATTATTATTATATTATCATTATTATTATTATTATTATTAGCAGTAGCACAAATGTTTGATTCTTTGCTGTGTTCAAGAGTAAACACATGATGTCACCTTCCAATACCTGTCCGAATAGCCATTCCAATATGCAGTCATAAATAGGTTGACATTATTTAGGTAGTAGGGACTTGCAGTGGTGGAGGCAGTAGTATTTAACCCTTTGAGGGTTTTGGTCGTACTAGTACGTCTTACGTGTAGGGGTTTTTGACGTACTAGTACTCATAAATTCTTGCGGCCTCAAATCTAGTGGGAGAAAGCTGGTAGGCCTTCATATGAAAGAATGGGTCTATGTGGTCAGTGTGCACAGTCTAAAAAAATTCCTGCAGCACACAGTGCATAATGAGAAAAAAAAAACTTTGACCATTTTTTTTTAATAAATCAGCGACTTTGCAGTGTATTTTCGTATGGTATTTATTGTTGTATTCTAGTTTTCTTGGTCTCATTTTATAGAATGGAAGACACATTACAGAAATTGAGATGATTTTGACTGGTTTTACAATGATAGGTGCCTTGAAATTGAGCTCAAAGTAGCAGAAATGTTCGATTTTTACCAAACTTCAAAAGTAAACAAATTGTGCCAAGCGTGCAATACACATCAACTGGTGAGTCTAATATTCTTTCACAAGTGCACCAATAATATTTATACCATTTTTTACACTAATGCAGTAGTCTGCATAACAGTAAATCTTATATTTTTTGTGAAAATAAAAATTCAAAGTGGAAAGCAAAAGAATATAAGAGGGGCCTTGAGACGTGACTAATGACTAGAGGAAATGTCATTTTAGTGCCAGGAATGTCTTTCTTGTTTATTCTGGACCCTATTCGGAAATTGGCATCTTTTGAAATTTGTGTGAAATTGGCAAAAT